CCGTGGCGAACTCGATGAGTGCGGAGAACACGAAGGCGTAGCACACGGCGATGAACCAGTCCATGGCGGTGGCGTAGGCCACCTTGGGCAGCGAGTTCCGGGCACTGATGCTGAGCGTCGTCATCGTCAGCACCGTGGTCACCCCTGGGGGTAGTGGGGGGACAGCAGAAACAGGGATCAGTGCTGGCACCCACACCCCACGGAATACCCTGAGCATGACAGACAAGGACAGGAAAGGCACCAGTCACTTTATCCCTAACCCAGACCTCCCTCCCACTCAAGGGTTCCCATAACACTTAACATGGGCATAGCGTTTAAAATATTGCTGCCCTGGCTGGTGTGGCTCAGTGGATTGAGCACCAGCCTGCAAACCAAAGGGTCACTGGTTCGATTCCCAGTCAGGGCACATGCCTGGGTTGCTGACCAGGTCCCCAGTAGGGGGTGCGCAAGAGGCAACCACACATTGATGTTTCTCTCCTTCTCTTTCTCCCTCCCTTCCCCTCGCTCTAAAAATAAATAAATAAATAATTAAAAAATTTTTTTAAAAATAAAATATTGCTTATTTTATTTATCTGGTTGAGTGTCTCCTTCTAGAAGATAAACTGGGGAGGGCAGGGTTTGGGGTCTGACTGACATGCACACCCTGACTGTGTCCCCATTGCCCAGCAAGCAGCGGGCACTCAACAGAGATGTGTCGAATGAGGGGCATTTCTTCGTGGCACTAGGTCCAGATCAATTGAGAAAACGTGCACGAAGATGCGCGCACACATTACAAGTCGCGGGCTCTGGGCACACGGATGTGGCTGCCCACCCCACAGCCTTCCAGGGGCCCTTGGGCAGCAGAAGCACCATGTCAGAATCCAAGACAATCAGCGTCCCCTCCAGGTGGCCGTGCGGGGTGCCACTGGCTGGCCACCTTGTGTCCAGGGAAAACTCACAGTGACCACCCAGCCAGCCGGACGCCCTGTTGGGTGACATCGGTCTAGGACTGGCAGAGAACGAACCACCTACAGGGCACCTACTCAGGACTCGGAACTAAGTCACATTTTACACGGGTACCATTACCCACACTTCTTGAGTGAGCAGCTTCAATGTTTAACAGTAGTTCGCAATGTCCCCACGTCTGCCAGCTGGCAAAGCAGCAGCCGTGTCTGGACCCAGGACGGCAGGGTGCTTCCAGCCCCCGTGGCTCCCACAGTTCTGTCTGCTCCGGGGGACAGCACACCTGTCGTGTGTCCCATAGTCATGCGCTCCAGTCCCAACCTCCAGCACCACAACGAGGGGCCTAACCTGGAACGCAGTCTTACAGAAGTCGTCGAGTTGAAAGGAGGTTGTCGGGGCAGCCCCAATCCGGTGTGGCTGGTATCACACACTCAGAACACACATGGCCACAGGCATGAGTGGCCGTGAGCCAAGACCTCCCAGAAGCTGGAAGAGAGGCCTGGAGCAGGTGCCCTCAGAAGGGACTGGCCCTGCTGTTATCTTGACTTTGAATGTGCAGGCTTCAAAGCTGTGAGATTATTCAACTCTGTTGTTTAGTCCCGCAGTGCATGGGGTCTTTTGTTACAGCATCCGTAAGGAACTCATACAACTCTGTGGACGGCAAGAAGGCCCCAGACTAAACCTGGCTGTTTCAGCGGAGGCTTGGGTGGCAGCCTTACAAATTCGGAGACCAAAAGGAACCACATAGGACAGTCTGCAGTAAAAACTTCCTAATTAAAAGCAAGTCATTGCGGGCAGTCACATCCTGGGCTCGTGTGGATCTTTACCTTAACTGAGCCTGACTGTTGTCTTTTCGCCTTGACAATAACATGCCTTTGGGGTGGCAGGGTGATTTCCTTTTTCCAGACCCCTCAGGGTAGAATGCCCCACCAGAGCCCCTCATCGTTGTTGATATTGTGTTAATGATTAACCATAACTATCCTGGCTTGCTTTTTTCCAATCCCGGAGGTTTCCTTGCTTTGCTTTCTCCCGCCTCCCTAATCTCTCACCAAGGGATTTCATGGAAGCGTCCTAGGCCTCCTCCTTTAATTCTGATGTATAAAGTAAGGTGCAGCCCTGGCTGGTATAACTCAGTGGATTGAGCGTGGGCCTGTGAACCAAAGGGTTGCCAGTTCGATTCCCAGTCAGGGCCCATGCCTGGGTTTTGGGCCAGGTCCCCCAGTGGTGGGCGTACAAGGTGCACAAGAAGCAACTACACATGAATCTTCCTCTCCCTCTCTTTCTCCTTCCCTTCCCTTTGCTCTAAAAATAAGTAAATAAAATCTTTAAAAATATATAAAAAAATAAAAGAAGGTACAAAACCGCCGTTCTCTGCAGCATCTCCTCAGTCCCCTGAGACTTTGCTTCCCGGCAACTGCTGTCAGTTTGACTCCAATAAATTCACCCAGATCCTTCCAGGTTTGGACGTTTGTTAGGTTGACAGCACAAAATGAGTACAACATCGCTGGTGTTCACAGCAGCTGAGTCGTCCCCCAGTGTCACCCTTGAAAGGTACGACAGAGTGCCGAGCAGGGAACAAATGCTTAATGATGAATCTGTAGCCATCTCCGACTTTTCTTAAAATCCAGTTAGTCCCTGTGCCGGGGGAAGTGTTCTGTGCCCGACCTGGAACGAGCCAGCTGCTCGCATCTTCCTGGGTCTCTAACACCCTAATGTGCGTTGAGAATCTCTCAGAGGAGACAGCATTTTCTACTAATTTTTTCCCATGCCTGCCTACTAATATCCACCCTGCAGAGCTGGGGGGGTGGGGCGTGGGGAGCCGCACACCTCCCTGAAACATGGCGGAGGCGACCCTGAGTGAGCCGAGGGGAGCCAGGTGCAAGGTTGGAGCGAGAGAGAAGGCACCACAGGGACACCCTGGGCCACACCTGGGGCCACGCTAGTGGGGCGTTCCCCTTAACGCAGGTCACCCTTCTGATAGGGGACTCAAGACTTGGAAAATGTTAGCTTAAGGTAAAAAGCTGTAAGTCTAGCAAGTCATGTGTATGGTAAGCTTTTGTTTCAGAAACTACAGGTAAGGCGCATCCTGGCTCCTGAGAAAAGCAGCTGACCTCCTGGGCCATTGGCTAGAGATTACTGCCTGGGGACATGTTGGAGGCATCTGGGCCTTTTGTGTGACCACCCCACCCTCCCACACACACCTTGAAAACAGCTAACTGCTGAGAACAAAAATGCTGCAGCTTCCCTCACCTAACCCTCCCTGAATTTCAAAGTCCTCACCGCACCTTGTTTACCCTCCCCCACCCCCTTATAAAAGATCTGGCCAGGAAAGAGAAGGGAAGATGGTTTGTTAGGGTGTGAACCCGCTATCTTCTCAGATCACCGGCCATCTGAATAAAGTGCCCATGAAAGATTCAATCGCTGTCATTGCTTATTGGGTTTGGTAGTGACAGGCAGCCCGAACGCCGGTGTCTTTTCCAGTTACACTTCTTTCTTGGGAAGACACGGCGCCATACGAAGAGCCGAGGCCTGAACTGTGCTTTTCAGTTTGGGGAGACGTGAGCATCCCCATTACCATGGGTTGGCGGCAAAGCTGCCTTCTGTTTCGCTCCTCGAATTCAAGGACAGAGGGGTTCAAGGTCAGAGTCCATGTCAGGTGATGTCAGTCTGACTTCTTACCGTATGTGTGTGTAGGTATGTGTCAACTACACGTGTGTGTCATAGGCATGTAGGTATAGGAATATATAATATAGGATATTACCTATATAATTCATTACTATCATATATATGTGACATATTGACTGCCACTTGGGGGGTTAACTTTATAAATTTTTAAAAATTGATTTGAGAGAGGGAGAGAGAGACATCGATTTGTTGTTCTGCTTCCTGATACATTCATTAGTTGATTTCTGTATGTGCCCCGACTGGGGATCGAACCCGCAACCTTGGAGTATCGGGACGACACTCTAACCACTGAACTAGCCGGCCAGGGCCCGGGGTTAACTTTAAAGCAACCTGCCCATTTCACAAAGAACTGCCCGATAAGATGCAACACACAAAGTAGGCCTCTGTGAGGCCTCTAAAAATACTGCGGCGAAATGTCACATAAAGACAGATTGTCGGCACTTTCCAACCTCAGGAAAAGGCTCCCCGTGGAAGGCTTTTCAGAACAGAAGCAAAGATCAAGCGGACCGTTGTCCCCGGAAGTCCGGCTCAGAGAGCCGTCCCACACCCTGATCCTCTAACGCTGCATCCTTCCTAATGGCTCCCGCGGTTTCCAGGTCACAGAGCAGAGCCTGCTGTCACCGGGCGTGGTCAGCGGCCTTCCAGGCGCACCGGCCCAGGCCCGGCCTGGGGACACTCACCAAACACAGTCCTAGCCGGGACGGACTCCCGGTTCAGCCAGAAGGAGACCTGTGACAAGATCACGGTCATTATGCAGGGAAGGTAGGTCTGGATGACGAAGTACCCGATCTTCCTCTTCAGGTGGAAATGAGCCGTCATTATGGTGTATTCACCTGGAAACAAGCACAGGAGCGCCGTTAGCCAGGCACCCGAATTCCGGCCACCCCCACCCCCACGGCTCCCAGCTGGTGTCCTGTGTCCCCGATCCTGACCTCTCTGTACCCTGCACTGCACAAGTATTTGCGTGGTTTGGGCAGAGGAGACCATGGGGACGCGTGGATTTCTATAAGGCCACTACTGTTTGAGTCTCTTGACCTCTCAAGAGCTTCTGCACGCGGGTGCTTTTCCTGGAAAATCAGATTTCAGAGCCTCCCTAATCCCCCTCGCAATCTGTCCCCTCCGCCCTCCCACTGGGCGCCGGCCCCAGTGGGGATTCAGGGTTTAGCCTCTCGGCAGAGAAAACTGGGGAGCGTGGAGGGGTCTCGCCCCGTTTCCCAGCCAGGGGGGCTCCAAGGAACTGGGGGGTGACCACCACACCCCCCCACCCCCCACTGGCCCCAGCTGTGGTAGGGTGACAGCGAACCGCAGCTTCTGGAGGCCTGGGTCCTGGCGGCTGCACTCTCCCGGCCGCTCGCCCGCAGGCACCTCGGCGGGCCCCCTGCCTTGGCGATGCCCCAGCGCCTCCTCTGCATCTGCCTGGCGGTGTGGGAAGCCAGCGGGGACCTCCCGTTCATTGCTGAGAACGATGCTGCGCTGACTGTGAACTGGTAAGGAGCCCGGGAGCGGGAGCAGGGGCGGCTGTGTTTTAAAGGGCTGTGAGCCCGAGGCCCCGGGAGGCGCTTTGAGAAGTGGGGACACAGCTGAGTTGATCTGAGGACGAGAGGACTTTGGCTGAACTGTAAGGAGTCCATGGTGTGGCTGAACTTGAAAGAGGCGCGTGGGGGGGGGGCGCGGGCTGTGCACCAGGAAAACAGACCCTGCATGGCGCCCCCTCTGGGGGTGGTCTGCCGGCTGTGTGGGCAGAGCTGGGGCTTTTGAGGCTGCTAATAACCGGCCTCCCACGCCTGCGGTTGGAACCGACGCCCAGCGCTCAGCAGGGCCAGCTGAGCGCGTGTCCCCGTGTGCCTTTGTCACAGCAAGCTAAACGTCAGAGGTGGATGGAAACATTAAGACCACAGGCGGTGAAACCTGCCCCCTGACCGAGAAGGATACAGTAGCTTTCTGTAGCCCTTTGGGACAGGCTGTGGCAGGTCACAGGCCCACCACCCTCCTGCCTGCAGCTCCAGGCAGATGAGAGCAGGTGACAGGGACCCGGGCTCTGTCTGTCCCTCCCAGCAGAAAATACAAACAGGGACACAGAGAAAGGGGGTGAGCATGCGTAGGAGCCACCATCAGACCCCATTCCCTCTCTGGAACACCTGAGCTCAGGGGAGATGCCTTTCTGCCCCTCTGCAGGACGGTGTGAAATCACTACCCTACTTATAAAATTCTTCTTTGGTGCTGTTCTTTTTACTTCGTTTTGTTTTTGAAGTGACGGGAGCCACATCAGATAATGTGACACAGGAAAAACCACCTTTTCAGAACACCAATAGAGGCGGGAACCTTGTTTACAAACTGGTGCAGGACTCAATGGGATAGCTCCAAGCCGCGGCACCATCCATTAGTGGCACAATTCTTCCACCCTGCATTTCTGCCAGGCCACCTTTGCGCTGGTTCCCATAAAATAGTACCTACTTCCTCTTCTTTTGCACTAAACATGCTAACCACAAGGTGAGGCCGCTGTCCTGTCCCCCCCCAGTACCTGCCAGGATCTCACCTGTCCCCAGGACGCCCAGCAACAGTGGGTAGGAATACAGGTCCACGTGCTTTCTGCCACCCCTGTGGTTGGCTGTTTGAGAAAGTGGGGTGCTGACTAGGGGCTCCCCTGAGGGTGTCCTCTGGGGATTAGAGCTCCTACTGCAATCAGGGCTCATTCCACCCTGTTACCCTTTTCTCCTCGGCCGCCTGGAAGCTCTGAGCCCTGCCCTGCCCACAGCCATGCTTCATGACCCTGGCTGCTGCTGCTGGGCCTCGAGTGGCCAGGAGGTGTCTGTAGACACACCTTGCAGCCTGAGGAAGGGGAAGGCATTTTGTTTCTGGGGACACACGCCTGTTTTGCACCAGGCAAAGCGACAGGTACGGCACCTGTATGCCTCTCAGGTCAGCCTCACGCATATGGGAGTGAGAGGACCTGCTGCTTGTATGGCCTGGACTATTTCTGGCTGCTTCATTGTGCTTTCCAAAATTCAACCCTGGGGACGTCTTTTCCGCCATGCTCACGGCAGGAGGTAGGAGAGCAAGGAAATAAGAATATTTGCAGGACATGGGCTTCCTGTCACTTGTGCGTCTCAGGGCCGAGGCTGTGTTACATAAGCAGGTGGCCTTGGGCAGGGCCAGCGGTCACCGGGGCCTGCGCACATGGGGGCCATTGCACCGCTGATTAGTGCCCAGCATGTCCCCTAATGCCACTGCTGCAGCTGATGTCTCTGCGTGCAGCTGCTGGGCATGGGGGCAGTGCCGGACTGGGCAGCTGCTGGATGCTAGTGCTGCCCCACAGCTGTGGCCGGATCTCGGTGGGACAGGATGGGTGAGCTGGGCCGGAGCCCGCACCCCACCACCAGGGCATGTCCCATAGGCGCCAGGCCTCACCTGTGCTGGTGCTGATGTTCTCCGTGCCCACTGTCTGCCCCATCAGGTGGTACTGGTTCAGCCTGGAGCCGTCTTCTGCCACCACCACCGACTTGGTGGTGTCGTTGGTCCAGACGTACACGACCTCGGAGTTAGGGTACGCGTCTGTGAGGGGCAGGGGGGACAGAAAGCAGCATCAATGAGGTGTCACTGGAAACCTGGCACAAGCCAAGGAGCAAGAGAGATGTCACAAAGTCCAAGTTCAATGGTAAAGCAGCTCGGTTGGCCAGAGCGTCGCCCTGCAATCCCCAGTCATCAACCAATCGATGTTTCTCTCACATCGATGTTTCTCTCTCTCTAAAAATCAATAAACATATCCTCAGGTGAGAAATTAAAAATAAAAAGAGTGTTTAGCATGGTCTGAGCAGGGCAGAACCCCCACTATTCAAGTGCTCCCATTTCTGAAGTACCATTGCTCAGAAACCAGCACCCAGCACTTCCTGGGGCGTGTATTTGGGGGAACGCTATCGCATGGGCCCTGAGACTACAGTACCTGGGGATCCCCCCAGCTCTTTGGCACCAGGCAAGTCACTTACACCCTATGCCTCGGTTTTTCCATCTGTAGAATGGGAGGGGGAGTAACAGGACCTCCTTCGTGGGCTCCTGGGGTACACAATGACATAATGCCTGCAGCCCTGGGGACAACTCAGATGGCATCAGCTGCCAATCCAGGCTCCACTTTGCAACAGCCACCTGTCCTGCTGTCCTGGAAGGAAGGTGGCCTGGCGGGCAGGACCTTCGCCCCTGGTGTCACACCTGGGAGCACCAGGTTGCATGGCAAAAGGCCCCACGCAGATGGGATTAACGCTGTGTGCCCTAAAATCGGGAGATTAGGCTGGATTTTCCCAGGGGGCTGGGTATAATCAGAGCCCTTCCAAACAGAGAACTTTCTCCAGCCGGAGCCATGCGTACTCAGAAAAACTCGAGGCCCGACAAAGGGACTCGGCCATCTTTACGGGCTTTGCAGATGGAGAAAGGGGTCGAGAGCCAAGGCAGCCCCTAGAAGGTGAAAATGACCCCAGTGACAGCGCGCAAGAAAACAGGAGCCCCCAGATGTGAGTCCCACACAGATGTGAGTCCTGCTGTTAACCCCAGGGGGGCTGGCAGCAGATGCACCCCCAGGGCCTCCAGAGAGGCTGCACCCCCTCCGACACCAGATTTTGGCCCCGTGAGACTCACAGCAGAGAAACCTGGCCCCCGCTGCATTTCTCCCCACAGAACTGTGGGGTAATGAATGTGCCGTTTTATTTTTTCCAGCTTTATGGAGATATACCGTATTTATCAGACTATAAGACACACCCCCAGATTTGGGGAGAAAATGGGGGTGCGTCTTGTAGTCTGAATGTAGCTTACCTGGCTTGCTGTGGTGGTGGGGAGAGGCGGTGGTGGAGCGGGGCCAGAGGTTATGAAATATTTTATCACATTTTTTGCTTCAAAAACTTTTTTTCCTATTTTCCTCCTCTAAAACCTAGGCGCACCTTATAGTCTGGTGCGTCTTCTAGTCCTAAAACTATGGTAATTGGCACACGGTATCGTATATATTGAAGGTGTACAGGGTAATGACTTAATACATGATAAAACGATGACCACAATAAGGTTGGTTATGAATGCTGAGTTTGTGAGGGCTTCTTGGGGCAGCGATGGAAACTAGAACAGGCAGATGGAGAACTGAGCTGACAGTCTGTCCCCTAGAACAGGCAGACAAACTTCAGACGCGTAACAAGTGAGGTGTAGGAAGCGCTCTGGAGAAACGCAAGCCGGGAAGAGAAAAGCGGCACAATTTTAAAAGAGGAGCGTCTGGGAAGCCCTAACTTAGGGGACCTGAAACAGGAGCGCTGTTAGGAAAGCGAAGGTCGAAGGTCGCAGAAAGGGCTCTGCAGGGGCCTAATGTGCCTGCGGTTCCCGAGGGGAAGCCAGGGGGCGCTGTGGCGGGTCTGGGCAGAGGGCAGAGGCGAAGACCAGACACCACAACCGGGCCTGGGGCCAAGTTGAAGCCCTTGATCTTCCCAGGGAGCTAGCGGAGAAGACCCAGCGGGTTCAGCAAACGCGTGACATGGTCTCACCCGCTGTAAAAGGGTCGCTCTGGCTGAGGCGGGAGAGCAGAAAGTAGGTGGGAAAGGCACAGAAATGGGGCTGCTAAGGACAACAGGAAAACTCTCCGGATGAGCGATGCTGGAGGCGGAGAAGGGAGATCGGGGCGCGTTTTACGGGGAAAGCGCATCACTTGGCGTGCAAGCCCCAAGACGAAGAACGCAGCCCGGCCAGGCACCTGGACAGGTCCCTTGCGCTGCCTAGGACGGCACAGACCCCGGATCGACCTGACTCTGGTGACAAGGCCGCAGTTCGGGTGCTGACGTGTCCGAGCGGAGAGGCCTACAAGGGGTCCACGCGGGGATGCTGAGCCCACAGCGGGTACGAGTCAGGAGTTCCGGGGAAAGGTCCCGGCATACGGATGTCACCTGGAACACTGCTGTGAGGTCGCCTGAGCGGGGAGTATCGGTGATTTATTAGGGTGTCACGGGGTGTCAAGTCTGAGAAGGTGAGGAGGGGACAGCAGAGCCACTGGAGCAGCGGCCACCCCCCTGGGAGGACACAGGGAATGGGCTGTCCTGGAGGACTGTGTCATGGTCTGCCTTTGATGGATGGGGAGTGTCCAGGGGACCTCACAAGACGTTCCACCTGGGCAAGAGAGTCTCCTTAGGAGAGACAGGGCCCTGGCTCAGCTTGTTTTAAGGATGTAACGGGTTCATCTGTTGCAGTTGCATCTTGAGACAGGTAGAAGCCAGAAGAGTAGGCTCTTGAATGATCAGGAGTCTTACCAAACCCTGGCTGGTTGGAGCATCCTCCTGTAAACTGAAAGGTCGTGGGTTCGATTCCCAGTCAGGGCACATGCCTAGCCCGCTGGGCTAGTCCCCAGTCAGGGTGTACAAGGCAACCAATGAATGTCTCTCCTTCTCTCTCTCTCCCTATCCCTCCCTCCCTTCCCCTCTCTCTAAAATCAATAAGCATGTCCTCTGGTGAAGATTTAAAAAAAAAAGAA